GAGATTAAACAGCAAGTGTCAAGAAGAAGACTATCAAGTGCCAATGACCAGACAACAGGTTAGTTGCCTTCTGAACACCATTAGGCATCATCTGCCCCAGCCTCTAGTTAGCTGGCTGCTGGCATATTCCAGTGTGCCACTGCCTCTGTAAGGCAGCCTAAGCATTCACGTGAAAAGCTGCAGGCTACAGCACCAGGAAGTCTGCACTTATCAGAAATCTGTCCCCCTTATTCCTAACCATGTTTATGCATGTTGTATTCATAACATTAAAAATACATTTTAATTAAATATTATGTAACTAAGGAAGTTGAGTGCAAAAAAATGTTGCCCCTTGAATACCAAGAGAGCTACTTAGGAAAATTACAAAAGGTAGGGTGCTTTGAAGTGAACAAGAACATAAACATTACAGAGGAGGAATTATTTTAAATCTTGAAGGATGAGCTATTGAGAATCTTTGGTAGTCTCTGAGTTCTCATTCCACTTGGCTAAAAAAAAAAAGAAATGGTAAGTGGGTACTGGTAGCTTAAGCTAGATAAACCACTTGGAACTCAAAGAAAAATCCTCAGTCCTACATCCAAAAAATGATGAAAGGTATGTTCATGCAATGAAATAGTTAAGGTATATAATTTTTATTTTTCTCTGGTTTATTTTGCTTTTACCACTACTAGGACCCAGTCATACCATCTAAGAGATATAGAAGAGATTTTTCATATGGGTCCAATTTAAATATATCACCATACTTCAAGATACACAGCCCTAGCTGGATGTGGTGATCACACTTGTAATCTGTTACTTCAGAAGCAGAGATCAAAGGGATCAAGGTACAAAGCCAACTTGGACAAAAAAATTAATAAGATCTTATCTCAATCAATACCCTAAATACAGTGTTTCACCTCTGTCATCCTAGCTTACCTAGAAGGCCATTGGTAGGAAGATAATAGCTTGAGGCTGGTCCCCAGCAAAAATGTGAGACCTTACCTGACATATAACTAAACGAATAAAAGGATGGAAGCTTGGCTCAAGTAGTATAAGTGTCTGCCTAACAAGAGCAAGAACCAGAGTTCAAGCTTCAGGATCACCAAAAAATAAAAACTCTGGACTAAATATGTAGCTCAGGGGTACAGAACTTGCCTATCATCTGTAAAGCCCTCGGTTCATTTCCCAGCATTGTTAGGGATTAAAAAGTTATTGTGTTCTAAAGCCTACTTTTATATTATTAAAGGCACCCAAGCTTTTCTGAGTCCTTTAATTTGCAAATATATTTTCTCTTAAATCCTCCACTTTAACTTGGCTGACACCAGCTAGGCTCTCCTGAGAGAGTCTGGTTTCCCTTCCCCATAGTTTATGTCAGCTCCATAACCAGAGCCCCAGATCAGTGCTTGATATAGTACAGTTACTTGTAAGTTCAGTGTATGTCCAAATACAAAGCAAGGAAAATTCAAAAAGGATTCAAATCTATTCCAAAAAGATAACTGTTTTATATGTGGATTCTTAGTAAATTTATCATATTAAAATCAATCCTTTAATTACTAAATTTGATACCACAAAATCCTTTTTTGTATGTTTTAAAGTCCTGGGGATGGAACCCATGACCACAGGTTCATTAGGCAAGTGCTCAACCATTGAGCTCCATCCACAGTTTTCTAAGACACTGCCCAAAACAACTCAATCAGTCCCAGTGTAGAGAGTTGAAGGAGCTCCATTACAAAATGTAAAAACAATAAACAAAAATGAGCCTGAAAATCTAGTGTACATTAACAAGTTCAATAGTTGGAGAGAACCACTATAACAGGAACTTTAAATATCACTTTAAGAAACTACATATATAGTATTTACAAACAATGAAGGAAGTAACAGTAACAGCATTAGGCAATATGTACTTGTAATTGGTATAAAATTTTTAATTGATTCCAAAAAAGGCCTTATGCTAAGTGGTTCAAATGAAAACTAAGGCTCTGCTCACCAGAGTAGAGGACTCCGTAAGTAGGCTGGTGACAGATAACCAAAGCCCAGCTGAAAAAGACGCAAGTGAAGACTTTATAAAAAAAAAAACTTCATGAACTGCAAGTGAAACAGAGCTTACTTCATTTCATACATGATGCTGTCCAACATCCAGTTATAACTGACTTAGTACAATAAGCAGCTAAGCAGATGCTTATCTACATTCCTGAAAGAGTTTACAAATCACAGTTATTTCCAAAGAAGATTTAAGAAGCTTCTAATCTGGAAAATAGAGAACTGTCATATTTCTCTGCTGTTAGGTTCTATTTGGTGTTTGCTAAATGATGGAATGAATGTCTATCTGTTGACATGAAGCAACACTCAGGGATCAGAAAGCATCAGTGCAATTCCAGTGGACAGTAGAATACCAGAAGCCTATTTAGAAGTAATTTTTAGCTGAAGTCTTTAAGCAAATAAACACATACCTCTATTTCAGTCCCTTTCCCTTCTCCAACCATACATATATCCCTGGAGTATACATCAGGATACAATAGTATGCATCAGGTAATATTATTACCGAGAATGGTAATATAGGTACAGCTTTTGGGACCCACAGTTGACCAAGACGATTCCTAGGACTACTCCATGGGTAAAATGCTACATGGGTATACAATTTCCACTTCCACTATTTGTTCCTCTGAAAATAATCAAATACAGCACTTGATTTAATTCAGATTCTTTCCAAAACCCAAACTTAGTCCCTTTGAGATGAGCTGTGCAGAAAGCCCTGCACTCAAGTTGACCTAACAAAAAGAAAGCAAATGTGTGTTAGACTCACTACCTAGTTACCTGGTAGGCAGAGATTAAGGGACTGAAGCCTAAGCAAAAAAAATGTTCAGGGGACTGCATCTTAACCAAAGGCTATACATGGTAGCACACACCTGTTATTCCAGCTATGGGGGAAGCAAAATATCTGGGTATTATGGTATGTGCTGGTCATACCCATACCCATAGGGATTACAGCCCAGGCCCACCCAGGCCCATCAGGCATAAAGCAAGATCCTACCTAAAAAATAACCAATGCAAGAAGCAGCTGAAGATGTGGTTCAAGTGGAAGGTCTGAACCCTATTGGAAAGAAGGAAGGAAAAAAGAAGGAAGGGAGGGAGGGTTCTAAGGTTTGTAAAAGCCCCAAAGTCACAAACAGTCTATATTGCCCATACAGAAAGCCAACCAGTCTCAAAATCTAGTCACCAAACATCCATTCCCTGTTATTATGCATCATTACTAAAAGTAACCAATGTCTACCCCTTTGACAAGTCCTAAAGAATGCTATAAATGCCATGGAGTTCCAGAAGGGCCCTAAAGCTCTGCCTTTCATATTTCAGAGGTTAACTCTCAACCTCCACCAAACACCATTCCCCAAGATCAACTGAGAGGACATCTGTAAATACAGCCATCAAAAGGTGCCAGCACTTCACCAGAAGCACAGTTCCTAAAATCATATAATTATTAAAGCAGAGAGGGCTAACCTGTTTATTCTGCAAATAAAAATATTTAATTATAATACCTTAGATCAAAAACAGCAAGGGCAGAAAGGAAAATCTTGCAAATCTCTAACTGGAGCATTTGGCTGTTTTTTTTTTTTTATCACAATTGAAACCAAAGGAAAAAATTCCTCTTCAGCAGTGATCCCAAGTAGGACTACTTCTTGACTTTCCTTGACTGATCATTCTTGCTGATCCATAGGAAACCCCAATTCAGCAGTGCATGGCATTTAACTCAAGATGGACATCTCATTTCTAACCCTGGCAGTGTTGCAGTATTGAGCAATTCAGATGCTAGAAGTTTCCAACACACTTCAGGATTATACTTATTGAAAGGACCATGTGCCACCAAATCCTTAAATGGTCAAAAGTAGAGGAATCCAGTTGTGTTTCCTAAAACAAGTAACTTCAGTAAATCATTCAGTAAATCAATGTCCTTTTTAACCATTAAATGTGTGGTTTTTTTTAATTTAAAGACAGTATACAATTCAAGTACTTGGTGTCCCACTCCAACCAGCACCTGTGAGCTACCCTAGTCCCCAGTTATAAATTCCCAAGACGCCAAAGGATGTATAATGGCTTGGAAAAAGTAAATTTTGAAAACAAGTCACTGAAGCCTCCAGAAAAACAGAAGCAAGGAAGGCTGTACAGTGTATTTTCACACACTAACAATAATAATAAAAATTTAAAAAAAAAACAATGGTCCCCTGAAAATGCAGCCCTGACTAAGAGCCCACGAATCAAAGCTTGGTGACTAGAACTGCCAAATCCAAGCTATGGGGTGAATCCAAGTGTTCTGAAAACCTCCAGGTTAACTCTTTCCTGCCTATATTCTGCCACACTGAGTCCCACTCATCCTCTCCCCTCTCCTCCCTGGCTATACGGCAGGAGGCTAAGTCTTCCTGGCAACAATCAGGACCAGGAAAACACATGAAGCAGTACCTTGCCTCTGAATGGGCAGAGGGCATACACAGGAAGAGTCTGGGGATCCAGGAAAAAGGGACTATTTCTGGCGAGTTGGAAGGATGATGCAAAGTTAAAAAGGCTAGACCAAAATAGGGGTGTTAGTAAGCAGCTGAAAGAAGAAACATCTATTCTGAGGGAAAGGGGGGTGTTGACTCACATCTGAACAGATTTGGGGGTGCCATGGGACCAGACACACCACTGAGTGCAGATTCTGGGAGAGGAGCTGTAGGGGAGAGGTTGCACCTACATTGGGTGTCAAGGAGAAGTCCTGGGTCAGGGTTTGGCACAGCAACACCGTAAGGTGAGCGGGAGGGGACTCAGATTGTCAAGAGATACGTCCAGGAGTTGGCACACTGGAATTGAAGAGTGACTGGCACCGAGTTCCTGGAGGAAAAACCAAGTTAGAGAAAGAAAAGCCAAACAACCAAGTGCGCCAAGTTGAGTCCACCTCTCGTCTCTGCTGTTCCTCGCGGTTGTCCCTACACACACGTGCCCACTGGCACTCACTCCCACACACACTGAAGCCAGGCTCTGGAACAGAATCCTACCTTGGCCGCAGGCATGCTCCGGTTGGTGGCCAATTCGCACAGGCTGGAGGTGGCGCTCCCCAAAGCGGCGGGAAGGAAGACCGGGGATCCAGGGGCGCTGCCCGCCGCGCCGCCCCCACCACCGGCGAGCCCGGGGGACGCACTGGGGCCAGGGCGCGCGGGAGGACTGCCACCAGGGCTGGTGCCTGCGCGGGGCCTCTGGCGGATGCCGTCCAGCAGGCGCACGAGCAGGATGTTAGCGGGCAGCTCGTCCACGCCGCAGCCCACCAGGATGCGGCACTCGGGGCAGCGGAGCTCGTGGCGAGAGCACACGATGCTCTCCAGGCAGCGGCGGCAGAAGGTGTGCTGGCATGGCAGCACCTTGGCCGTGGTATCCAGACGCTCCAGGCACACGGAGCACTCCAGCAGATCCAGCAGCGACGACTCGTCCATATCCTCGCCAGTCCCCTCGGCCGCCACCCGCCGCCGCCGCTGCTCGCCCGGCCTGTCCTCGTCCCCCTCGCTCTGCGCAGCAGCGGCGGCCGCCTTGGACGCGCACAGCCAGGACGCTCCGAGCAGCATGGGGGAGGCGCCCGCGCCGGCCGCGCGCGCAGCTGCCTAAGTCCGTGCACCGGAGAGGGGCCCGCCTCTGGCAACGGGCATGAAGACCGTCCCCGCCACGACTTCCTTCACCAGGGCTCACAGTCTGGGGCTCCGAGCGGCCCCGCCACGGTGCAAAGTGGAGAACCCGCCCGGCCTGCGTGGCAAGGCCTGGAGTTCTGCGAGCAGTGCGTCAACTCCGGCCAGCCAGCCGAGCCCGCCCAGTCCCGAGCGCGGCGCCCGCCGCTGTCACTCCACCTGTCCCGCCGGGCGTCCGCCCCGCTCCGAGGGCCGGACAGACGGCCCCACACGAGGTTCAGCGGGCTGTGAGCTCAGAGCGGCTGCTGCCCGCCGCCGGGAGACCCGCGACAGGAAGTGCGGGGAGCGGCCGGCCAGGTCCCTGGGGAGGCCGAGGCGCGGGGTGCGAGCTCCCCAGCGCTGCCGGCGAGCCGCACCACCCCCGCGGCTCCTCCATGCGCCCCCCTCCGGCCCCCGCCCCCCTGACCCGCCTGCGAAGTCGTTGCCTCCGGCGGGTTCGGCTGGACTGTGCCCCCTCGTTCTGGGCCTCGAGCACGTGCGCGGGGGGCGCGCGGGGGGAGGTCGCAGTCAAGGAGGGGCGATCTGGGGGCACGCCGATGACTGGCCCTGTCCCCTCGGGGCACCTCCAGGGATCCCAGAAACTCCTCCTGCGTCTGCTAGGCCCTCTCTCCTCTGGGCGCCCCTACTCTTCTTGGGGGTCTTTTCAAGCCTCAAAGAGGGACGTTGCTTGCCAATGGTGCTGCGAAGGAAAGTTTGGGCGACGTTATCCCAACTGCTTTCTTCGCCAGCGCTGGCGAGCGGCGCAGGAACACAGCCGACGCCCAGGCATCCTCCCCCGACGACTGGTGCTTGTGCGGGGGGCCTCTGGCGGCAGCGCTCCCGGTCCTGTCCTCTCCCCAGGCGACGTGCAGGAGTGACAGCTGCGGGGGGTGTACCGTGAGGCGATCGGGCTGAGGAAGACGTCCTGGGGCCGCTCCGACTCCGGTTCACCTCAGCCTGCTCTCTCCCCAGTCCTGGGTCCCAAGCTGCCGCCCTAGCCCGCGCACCAGCACCCAGCACGGTGCTGCCGTGCGCCCTGCTCCGCGCCGCGCCCGAGGCGGCGCAGTGACAGGCGCCCTGGCGCCCGCTGCGGCGCGGTCTGGTGAGCCCCGCTCCGGATTTTCCTCGCGAGGTTCAGAGGAGGGGGGGGGGGATTCGCGCTCTCCTTCCCGACGCCCCGGCTTCTGGGAGCGTCAGAGCAACGGAAGTACGTTGGAGGACCGAGAGCAGCAGGGAAGTTTGGCGATGGGCTGCGGTCGGTGACAAAGATTCCCTGCCGTGCGCTGCCCCCTCGTGGTCACTTCGGGTTCCCACCGCTCCGGGTCCCATCTCCAGCCAGCTACAAACCCGGGACTGGTTGGAGGTTGACAGAACCAATTCTTACCAGGGCTGACATAAGAAGTGGAGTAGATGGCCTGCCTAGAGGAGGGACTGTCCTGTCGTTTGATGAAGCTAAGTGTCGCTTTCCTAATTTTTAGGGAGAAAAGCTCTATTGGCTGTGCTTATACATTCCAAGAAAGTGCCTTGCGTTATTTAATCCTGTGAGTAATGATGTTTAACTTCATTTTTACAAATAATGAAAGTGAGGCTCGCCGCTATGAAGCCATTGGGGCGAGATTTTAGTTTTGGCATCCCCAGACCCTAATGGCCACACCAATAGAAGTTGTCTGTAATCTACATATCTTTTATACTGCAATATCATCAGTGCCTTGGGCACTGCCTGGTATATGGTAGGTACTCAATAATTATTTGTTGAATGAAGGCATGTCTCAGTTGTAGAAGAGAAGTGTGCCTCAAGTGGTAGAGCACCAACCTTGGATGGGAAAGGACAAAGATAACCATAAATCCCTGAGTTCAAGCCCCACAACTGGCACGCGCGCACGCACACACACACACACACACACACACACACACAAAGAATGCCTCAGTCTTATCACTATTGATCTGAATGCAAGCTGTCAGGCTACAAGTCCTTGGAAATTTTTATCCTGGTGGTAGCAGGCAGCTTTCCCAACCTAGATATCTCCCAACCGCGTATTCCATATTCACATCAGCTCTAGCCATGGTATGAGAGATAGAAGACAATCCTTGAGTTGCCTGGCTTCCTTCAAGGCTGAAGGAAAGAAACACCCCCAACAGTGCACAGAAGTACATGGGCCACCTTTTGCTCTCAGTACCTTCTTCAGGAATGCTTACTCCAAGAGTGGATAATGAGTGCTCAAGGATAAGGAAGAGCATTAGAGGTGACTTCTTTAGGCCCAGGGAAGGCTGACAGAGAGCAGGAGTTGCCCATATTGACATGCCCTGGGTACTTTCAGTTGCAAGCAACAGAAACCAACTTTAAAAATACCTTAAAGGGAGCAGACTAAGAAGCATCTCACAGGACTGTCGGCTAACAGTTGGGCCAGATTACTAAAAAATCCCCAGTGAGTCTTGCTCTTCTCATCTTCACAAGATGACTCACTCTTTCCTAAACTGGCATCAGATGCCTCTGCTTCCAACTCACAAAACAGAAAACGTGATCAGAGCTCCATGAGCATTGCATCCACCAACATTAACTACTGATAAGAGGCTCACCTGATGCCATCACAGCTACCAGTTTTATAATCCTATCACCTAGCTAGCTTGGACCAGTAGTTGTCCTCTGCGTCTATAAGACAAGATCTTATAAAATCTGGCAGCTCTCTGAGGACTCACTTCCAGAGGAAGTGGCATATTAGACAGTCAGTACACAGATAACCATGCCAAGAACTGGAGACCATATCCCTAGCTCCTTCATTGTTATGCACAATCAAAACCAAGAAGAAATGCAAGACTGATGTATCCCTCTTAGCTTGAGTTTCTATTGCTTCCATCTTTCCTATCAGCCTCTACCTTAGCCAAACTTCCACGGTGCACACAGACTGAAAAACAAAACATACATACCCTGAGAAGGACATATAATTTAATACTACATGGCTACTGTGGCAAAGTATCTGGACCTTCTAAAGAGAATATCGACACTCAGCTATAGCCAATCACTCAGTCCTGATGAAATGGTGCCCAAGTATTACATCTTCCTACCTTTCAAAAACAAGCCCAGTTTTTATATAAGCTCTCAACAATGAACAACCAACTAACTTCCTCCCCTCAAAAAAAGAAAAAAGAAAACCCACACCACATATTTGCCAAACCAAATAAATGTGTGACCAACTTGGGCTAAAGACCACTAGTTTTTAATTTCTGACTGAAGTCTCTGAGTATGTTGTGTAAGGTAATTTAAGGGTGTGAATCAAATAGCTAAAGTATTACAAATAACAGTTTTATGTTACTCCATTAAATTTGCACATGTTCAGTAAGTCAATTATGTAAGTAAATGATGGAAAACCTGGCTTAACATCCATTCAAATGAAGAGATCTGGGGAATTTAGTCAACCACAGCACAATATGAGCCAACATGAGTCATCATTGTAGCATGGTTGTCTAGAAAAAGTCATGAAACCCTCAGATGCCTTAGAGGAAAGTAAGAGGTTGGGATATGGAAGAAATGATCCCATTGAATCTCAGGCTTGTCAGACTTCATTTGTAAGATCACTCCAATTCTAGGCACCAAAAATTAATGACAGAGTAGTGAGGGATCTGGGGACCTTGTCGATGAAATTAGGATGGAGGAAAATAAACCACCTATCCAGAAAGGAGAAGGCTCAGAGGAAACAGGATGAGGTGGCTGCATGTCAGGTTTTTGGCTGTCCAAAACTTGAACTCCTTCCTAGATTTGAAAGATTCTCTGCTTGGTGATAGGCAGGTATTTATTTTTCCAGTAGAGATATAAAAACGAGATGTGGGCTTAGCCAACTAAAACAACTACATCACTAGTACTCTGAGAGGTAGCAACAGAGGCAGATGCAGTCCATGAACTCCAGCCATCATGGAGCAGGCAGCTAGCAGCTGACAAGCCCACAGCCTGGAGCCCATCTGGTGGCAAAGCAGCCCTGGACAACTTGAGATAGAGAATCTCCTCTCCAGACCAGCCCCAAACAAGGTCGTGGTAATGAATCTAGGCTATAGCAGTCACTGCTTGCCTGTTTCCCTGTTCCATTTAATGGGTTCCTTTTTCGTTAAATCAGCCAAAGTCCGTATTTGCTGTTTGCACTGAGAACTCTAATTAATGCATGTTATTTATTATCAGAGACCAATAAAGGTACTAAATGTGAAACAACTGATGCCGTGCTAAACACCAGTAATGATCCCTCGGCCTTCATAGTGGAAAAGCATCCAAATGAGCCTTGTGGATCTCCATTCATTCATTCATGTAACATGCAGTCCCTGAGGGTACTGTACCCTGGAGGCAGACTGGGTCAGAGCAGAGGCAGAGGGCTGGGCCGACAGTGTGGTGTAGAGGGTAGAGTTTGTCTTGAATGCTCTACAGGATCCCATGGGAGCTGACTCAGACAAGTGACATCAGTTCTTTGAACCAGAGCTGAATCTTCTGCAGATGGGAAGATGAAAGCATTCCAACTCCTTAGCAATGTAGGCCTTTGAAATAACTGAGATTGAGTAATATGTTGGAAAAGAATATTTGTCTTGTTATTGCTAGGTAGGATGGTTAATTTAAGTGTCAATATAATGGATCAAGGAACACCTAGAGAAGTGGTAAGGCATTATTTTTGGGTGTGACCGTGGGAGTATTTCCAGAGGAGATTGGCTTACAAGTCAGTGGACTGCCCATCCAATTAGCTGGGGTCCCAGCTGAAGCAAAGAAGGAGGGGAAAGGATCCTCCTTCTCTTTCTTCCTCTCTCCCCCTCTCTCTCCAGAAAGAGTGAGAATACTGTCCTCCAAATACTTCTCTTAGGCATCAGAAATCCAATTTGAATCTAGAGGGGGGAGTCCAAGGACTATTTTATTTCTACCCAGTTCCTAGAAC